ATTACTTTATTCAATATTCGTTTAGGTTTTAATTTGATTACTTCTCATTGCACTCTTTGCATAGCTACTACTAACTCTAGACCGAACCTAGGATGCTTCGATTGCCTTGTCAGCGTTGATTACTTTATTCAATATTAATTTGGGTTTTGATTTGATTACTTCTCATTGCACTCTTTGCAGAATGCAGATCTACCACTATGACTGTAGACCGAGCCTAGGATGTTTGACCGCCATGTCAGCTCTGATGATAACGGAGCATGATGAACTCCAGAGTAACATGGTCGAAGTGTCTTGGTACCATAAGCGGGGAACTTGAGAAGCAATAGGAGGTGGAGAAGCGTGTTGTAGAGGATGCTCGGGCCGATCGACAATGTTATTGCGAGATGGTGCGCAAGCTAGCATCACCTCCCTCCAACATATAGTGAAGTGCCTCATCGTGCAGTCAATGTTGAGGAGGCTCGTTATCCGGAACACAAGGTCAAAGGGGTGGCAAAATTCAAAGGCTTGTGGTGATTATGGATAATCAACCGAGCTCAAATCCAAGTTTGGCCTGTACTAAGACTCAAGTTCGACCAAGGATCACTAGATCCAATTTGGTCCTTGCAATCACCATGAGTTGGACTTGTATTGAGAAGACCTCACTAATTATGAGTCTAGGAGTCCCTTGCATGGGACTAAGAGTTGAACTCTAATGAAAGTCCTCTAGTTATTAAAAGTCTATGAGTCCCTGCGTGGGATTAAGAGTTAGACTCTGATTGAGAGTCCTCTAGTTAGGAGTCTTCCCTCTTCACAACTATAAGGGTGGTTGGCAACCCTTGGAAGAAGAGGAAAAAGAGGAGAGAAATGATGACAAGAGTGAAGCCTTAAGAAGATGAGCTTGCATGCTCAAGATGTTCGAATTATGCTCAAGAAGTTAGAGCTTGTTGCTGACGAATTCTTTGCAATTGCATGATTAGGTATTCCTTTATCAAAAAGCAATCTCGATCCTTTTTCTCTTTCATATTTCTCTTATTCCAATTTCCCTATCTACCCTCCCATAAGGCATAAATTCACTTGGAGGAAGGATTTGATCATTGAGTCCTTCCCCAAACAGTTCACGTGGTATTAAAGCGATGATCGTCATTAATGAATAGTTACCACCAAGCAAGAATATAAAAATTCTGGTGAAGAACTTCACGAGTTGGAGATGCAACATCGATTATCGAAGAAAAGAGACAACACGATGGAAGAAAGGTCTCTAATAGCATCATTACATCTTGATGCTGAAGTCGTATCACTCATGCAAAAGATGGAGGATGTGGGGTTAGATCCGATCCTAAGCTAACACAATAGCAAAAGATGTAGATAAGCGTGGTGTAGCAAAGGGGAAGGAGCTATCTTCCGTCAAATACCAAAATTGGTTTACCAAAGATGCATTGCGATGACGACGATGACATTGTAAAACCGATGGCAAAGATAAGGTTTCTACCGTTTCGAGTTTTGATATTCCCACCTACAATGACTCCAGCAACATAGAGATGTTAGATGCATGGCTCGATCAACTTGACACTACTTTACCCTATAGGGATATAGTAGTGAAGACAAAGTCATGCTTGTGTGACTCAAGTTGACAGACGATGCTCTAGCATGGTGGAACACCTACCAATGAGCCTACAAAGATGAAAAGATGATATGAGGATTTTTTAAAAGTCTCATCCGACAAGAATTCTACCCGATTGGCTACCTCGAAGATTAGTGGAAAAGATGACATAACTTACGCCAAGGATGTCACCAATCTGGGTAAAGACTACACCATTAATTTTTGACGACAAGCTATGGCACTTGGAATCTCTCCTGATAGCCATTCGATGGTGATAAAGTTTACCATTGGTTTGCATGCCCAGATGAACACCCTATTGAGCCTCTTCAAGGTTCATGACATCTCAAGCACTAGTAAGATAACTATAATGATCGAAAGGAAGATCAAAATCTACAATAAGAGGACTACTGAGAAGGACAAAGAGGGCTGCTTGAAAGCCAAGAAAAAGTCTAAGAATAGTAAGAATGCTTCTTCCTCGAAGAGAAGTGATGTCTTTTGGGATCACTGTAAAATTGTAAGACAAGACATATAAGGGAGTAGTTGCAAATGGTTCACCGAGATTTCTCGAAAAAGTGATAGAAGAATGACCAAAATCTACAGACAGCAACTGCGACCGTCGACGATGATCCTACCGAACTTGTTGCATTGAAATACTCTTCCATTATTGAAAAGGAAGTTCTTAACCTCCTTTGTGTCTCTTGCACCCATAGCAATTCAGCTTGGGTGCTTTGAGATGGCAAAGCAACATGCGTGTTGCCCCTTCCCTCGTGTAGAGCCCTTGTGAGTTCTCATCGTGAGATCCGTCATGATGTCTTGCAGATGCTACATGGACTCCTTAGTATTTTTCGCTAGTCGGTCAACCCAAGAACCCATCATGTCGATCCGAGATTCTGCTTTCTCTTGCGAGTTCTCTCCCATAAAGAACTTTCGCTAACCTTGGTAGATAGTAGGGTGGAGGCAGACGAGAGGAGAGAGATCACATGAAATAGAGAAAGAAAGTTGGTGGGGAGAGAGAGTGGAAAGAAAGAAATAATAAATAGCTATCAAAACTAGGAAAAAAATGATAAGGGTATTAAGTATGAAGCCTTGCAGTTTTAACAATTACATCAGACCAAGGTTCGTAATTTTGTATCGTACCGGAGTTTCGAACTCAGCTCGGTACGGTATGATATAAGTATACCGAACGGTACGTTTCGGTATGCCGCTCTCTGCTCGCGTGAGGAGGAGGTTTCCTTCTCCCTGCGCTCGGCGACGTCGCTTGGTTTCTACCTGCGTGGGGAGAAGAAACCGTTTCCTTCTCTCCGCACGAAAAAAAAGAGAAAGGAAAAAGAAAGGCGACGTCGCTCGGTTTCTACCGTATGGGGAGAAGAAACCTGCATGGGGAGGGTTTCTTCTCCCCACGCAAAAAAGTAAAAAAAAAAAATGCCTCATTCCTTCTTCCTGCGTGGGGAGAAGAAACTGCTTCTCCCTGCGGCGTCGCCAAGGCGTCATCGAGGCTTCTTCTCTCCCTGCGCGGATGAGCAGAAGTCGCCGATGACGCCGAGGCCTCGTTGCCTCAAACGAGGAGGCGACATTATCTACAATGTCTGGGGGAAGGAAGCGATGGATCGAGATCGTTGAGGGAGAGTGGCGCCGAATCTTCAGGTTTTCTCTTTTCTTCTCCCTCTGCTAATACCATTCGGTGGCAGGCAGTGACGGCTGATTTAGGGTGATAACGGAGCGAAAACAACCCCAATCAACACTACCGCTCGGTAACGGGTGGTTCGCGTATCGGTCTACCAACGGACCGGTACGTACCGCCCGGTACGGGCGGTATTATTCGAAATTAATATCCTTGCATCAAATTATATGTTAGTAAGATAATTATAGTGATTTAAAAAGCACTAGGCGCTAAGGTCCCAAAATGCTCGAGGTTCTAGGTGCTCGCCCGAGCATAGCAAGATGCTCTGAAATATTTAAATATAAAAAATATATAATATAATTGATAAATATGATTATATAAATAAAAATACGACATTAAACTACTATTAACGGTAGTTAGAGGGGGAGAAAAGAATTGTTAAGATGGAGAGAAAAATTCACCGACAGTGGCGATAGCGGAGGAAGCTGCGGATGACAGTAACGGTGGAAGCTACTGACAACAGCAACAACAACGGCGGCAATTGCGGACGACAACATCATGGGCGGAGGAAGCTTTAGAGGTGTCCGTTGGTGGTGGAGGAAGCAGCGGTCCTCTCCCTCGACGGTGGAAGGAGCTACACATGGAAGCAACAACGGCGGAAGGAAGCTGCGGACGAAGGCTAGGCCATCGGACCTGTTCGTCGGCGAGAGAGGAAGCCTCGGTCCACTATGTCTACAGCGAAGGCAGCTACAGAAAGCGTCGTCGGCGGAGGCAGAGTTGATGGCTCGGGGTCGCTCGAGGGTGCGGGGGGTGGCTTTTGCAGGAAAGAAACTGGCTAGTTAGCTCAATTGAACCAACTAGCCATTATTGAACCAAACGAAACTTAAAAGTCTGGTTCAGTTGCTTCATTTGAACCAGGTGCTCACCTGAGGTGCTCGATGCTTAGGTTCAGGCGAGTGGCCAGGAGGCACCACTAAAGCGCGTCGCCTGGTCCACCCTTGAGGCACTTGGGCCTCACCTCACATCACCTCGCCTTGCCCAAGTACTTAGGCGAGTGCTCGAGCGCCTATTTAAACCACTGGATAATTATACTGGGTGGTAAGCCTATGAAAACTAGTGGTTTGCATAGTGGTTGGTATGACTGATTCTTTAAACCTTGGCATCAATAAACTACCAGATTATTGAGAAGCAGTTGTAAGCCTAGTTATAACTGTTTTGGGAACTAGACTTTAGAACCTTGCTTACTTCTACGGTTCATCTTCCTATATTAATGACAAAGATGCCTTTTAGTGGTGACCAAGATGATCTCAGTTAAGGTGGCTAGATTTCTAGTTTACTAAGAAAAATTATACAAGAAACTGTGTTATATGAAAAAGAAAGCAAAGGAACACTATTTCTATCTTTCAAACAACAATCTCAAGGCTCATGCTTCCTCTTTCTATGTGACTCTGAACTAGGATGATCCTTGCAACTAGCATTGACTTAAATTCCTTCCTGCTGCATTAAATGCATATCTTCTGTAGCTTAAGGATTTGCCTCATTTCATATAATTTCCAAATTCAACGAGGACTTGTAGCTTTTTCCACAGTCTACCACATGTCTTACTCATTACATTAGATGGTTTATAGTTTGACTTGAGAGGAAAAAAAGCAGCAGCAGTAGCAAGTAATTGCATGATGCATACTTTCGGTGGTGCTTAAATTTTTCTTGTTTGATTTAGCCTGTGACTCTTATTTTGCAAATTTGGCTATACTGATATTTAGTAAGGAGTAAATTGGACCCTGTGGGAGCATGTGACAGACGAACTATGGGCGATGAGGTTGGGCTTGAAACTTCTTCAAGAAAGGGCAACCGCCCGTTCCATTTGGTGGCCATATATCAGCAATTTGCCAGAAACTTTTTGTATACCTATTTTCTTTTCGGGGGATGACATAAAGAACTTGCACTATGCTCCACTAATACATCAGGTATTGGATATATATATATTCTGGTCAGTCAGGTTTAAGATATTAGTCAATATACTATCTCATAAACATGTTCTATACTGTTCCAGGTAAATAAGAGATGTCGTTTTCTTCTTGAGTTTGAGAAAGAGATAAAAAATATTCTTGACAATGTTTCCTTGAGAAATCATCCCTTTGGAGGTCAAGATGTAAATTCATCTTCACTTGGCTGGGCAATGTCAGCAGTTTCTTCTCGAGCATTCCAGTTGTATGGTGAAATTCCTTACAGTGACAAGCCTAAAAACATCCCTATGCTGCTTCCGGTCATTGATATGTGCAATCACAGTTTTGCTCCTAATGCTCGAATTGTTCAAGAGCAAAACATGAACAAGCAGAACATGTCAATAAAGGCAAGTTCTTCTGGTGTTCTATACTTCAGTAAGGTTCTTCTATTGGATATTCATTTTTGTACAAGCTCATTGGTTGAACTAGTAATGCATCAATGATCATTAGTTTCTTTGTTTCATCTGTCTTATGCCTGCTGTTCTCTCTCAAGAAGTCTTTCTGCTTTTCTTTTTTTCATTTCGTATCGAGATTTAGTTATATATTTATTGTCTTTTTGTTTTTATCCACTCTCAATAGGCAACAACCTTTGTGCACATGTCCATGAGCTTGAGTATGTGAATGAATGAATAAACTTTATATATATATATATATATATATATATATATATATATATAGAGAGAGAGAGAGAGAGAGAGAGAGAGAGAGAGAGAGAGTGTGTGTGTGTGTGAATATATATGTATAAGTTCAGATCATGCTTATGATGGGTTAATGAAATTATACTTGTAATCTTTGCCTTGATGATGTCATGTATGCCTTACAATCCATGCAGATAAATTTCTCTAAAGCCTAGTGCTTGTTCTATAATAAAAACGAAAGTTGGATATTGTAAATGAAAATAGTTGCAAATCTCCTTTCCTGTGATGCCACATCATCTACTGGTTTGAGGCCATTTTTGGTGTATTTCTGCTTTCGAACTGAATTATAAGTTATCTTTTTTGTCCATTTTCCCTCTGCTTATTTTAGTCTTTTTCTTTTGTCTTCTGGATTCATACCATAAGAACTCTTGCGGAACCATTATTTTAGAACTATTCAGTGTTGTACTCCTTCCTGTTACCATGTTCTTCTCTTTTCCTTTAGCTTGAAAAGTCTTTATCGAACCTCAAATTGTTGTGACAAAATCAATCAAGTAGACGATTATATGCCTTATTTGCTTTCTAGATTTGAGACATCTCGACTAGAATTGTCATCTAGGGTGGTATTTACCTTCATCTGTGCCAATGACCCAACAACAGTTACCGTGTATGCCTCAATTTATTTGCCCATGAATTAGTGGTCAATTGGACGAAAACAACGACCATCATGACATTAGTTTCTGCATTCGCATGGACTTCCAGACTAAAGTTGAATTTGTTGTCCAAATCATAATTTGCCTGGAAACTAGTTTCCACTGGGTTTGCAGGCAAATTTCTGATTTTGACAAAAATCTATTAATCTGACTCACACTGTGTTGTAACCCTAACATTGCGAAGTATTTTCTTTCTTCTTGTGTCACTACATTATTGTTTTGTATCTTTATGTCATTAATCTGGCTTTCTGTATTGTTAAAATCCCTTCTTGATGCATAAAGAGCAATGTTTATTTCATGCATGCTCAAATTATCGGGCACACAGGTCCCAAAGCTGAGGCAGTATTACTCATTTCAATGGCATTCTTATATTTAATTTATAGCAAATCCTTCATGTCTACTGTAAGTTACTAGGTGTTGCAATAACATTATTAAGCTGGCATACTGAAATTTTTTGAAATGTTGCTTGAAGCAATTTGCTTATTTTTATATGCTTTTCCATATTTTTTTCTTTTCCTGATCTTGCATACAAACATTAAGATTTGATAAGATGAAGGAAGATTTTACGTGCTATTTTTTTGGTATTATTAACTGCCATAATCACACTATTTGAGACATCAGTGGTTGGGTGACCATTCACATTTGAATATAAGGATTTCTATATGCAATAACACATATGTTGGATTTACTTCCGTTGTAATTCCAAATTAATTTGACAATGCATTATTTTCTTTACATGTATTGATGGACAAACATCTTTATACCTCATTATCCATGTTGGGAAGCAACCTCAATATTGGCATGTGTTTATGCTATTTTTTTGTGTGGACCGTCTACTGCGTTAATAAAGTTCTGCTCATTATCTTCCATAGTTCCATAGTTTTAGGCTTATGTTTTGTTTATATCAAACAAGCAGGTTGTAGCAGATACGCAAATTAAGCAGGATACACATGTCTTGCTCAATTATGGCAGTTTAAGCAATGATTTTTTCCTTCTGGATTATGGTTTTGTGATTCCATCAAATCCACATGATCATGTAGAACTGAAGTATGATGAGGCTCTTCTTGATGCTGCTAGTTTAGCAGCTGGAGTTTCTTCTTCCAGCTTTTTGTCTCCATCTGACTGGCAGCAGGACATACTATCTCGCCTAAATTTACGGGGAGATGAGGCTCTTCTCAAGGTTTTCCTTCTCAACTCATGAATTTACAGCCTCATGAAAATTTCCAAATATTACATTTGAACACGGAAATTTAAGAAGATTGCGGAACAGAAGCTTTGTAAAAATATTTTCTACAGCACAAGTTAATCAGCATAAAGTGGAGGGAGTGCAGGAGATGGTTCTAAGAATTTTAGGACTAGAATGACATGGGCAAGCTACAAGGAATAAGGTTAACACTAGACTTGGGCATTGGGATCAGGCTGAATAGGGTCATCAGATTAGATTGGCTGGAATCCATCATCCATGAGAATGAATATAACATGTTGGAGGTAAACTGACGACTTTAGTCCTATGAGCATTAGATAATTTGGTAATTGAAGAAAGCTATCCCTTATTTGGAGAAAGAGGCAGTGTTCCAACTATTTGGTGCTCATTTATGATTTCATTTGGGAATAACGGAGAGGGGATCCAACCATGAGAACTAATTGTGTTAAATATTCGAGCACTGCCCCCACAAGGATTCAGGTATAGAACATCTTCAAAATGAAGAGGGGACCAAATCACTGGGCCAAGTCCTGGTTGGAAGTACTTCTTGATATGTTACAAGTAGGGTTTTCTGTGGATTACAACGTTGGCAGTACGAGCATATTTCATAAATAATCACTCAAAATACTGAAGTTTGATTCAGTGACTTAGATACACATGAGAACATTCTTTTATGATCTATTTTAACTTGATATGCTAGATTCATTGTACCTCCTGGACATGCTGAATAGTGCCTTTTTGGAGTTCTTGGTTACTGACGATCATTCATAAAATTGTATAGTTCCCTTACCTTTTATGACCATTAGCATTTGCAGGGATGCTAATGGTCATAAAAGGTAAGGGGCTTTTCAAACTGTAGCTATTTTCTTAAAATATGTTTCTTTTAGAAATATTTCAGGAAATTCTCGATTTCCAGATCTTTCTGAAATTTATTTCTTTTGTTTCTTTCAGGTGACTTTAGGTGGCCCTGGATTGGTTGACGGCCGTTTGTTGGCTGCCCTAAGAGTACTGCTCTCAAGTAACAAAGAAACAGTTCAAAGGCACGATTTGGACACTCTCATGTCGTTATCAGAGGAAGCTCCTTTGGGAATGTCCACCGAGGTTGCAGCTCTCCGAACTGTGATATCTCTCTGTGTTGTTGCACTAGAATCCTTTCCCACAAAAATAATGCAGGATGAGTCCATCTTTAAGACTGCTATATCCTATTCAACTGAATTGGCTGTCCGGTTTAGGATGCAAAAGAAGTTGACGATCATAGATGTCATGCGTAAGCTCACTCAGAAGGTTAAGAAGATATCCAAGATGGAATTAACTGCTCAGAATTAGGCTTATATGACTGGTAGTGGGTTTTTCTCGACTCTTAACTAATGCCTTTATTTCAGTAGACAAAATACTCTTTGATTATTTTCTTGTTTTCGAATGTCATTTTTCTCTGCTATAATTTTCTTTTGGCGTTAAAGAGGGTAGACCTCGGTACAATAGTAAGGATGCTCTATTGCGACCTAAGAGATTAGGATTTGAGTCACAAAAATAGCCTATTTAAATATTTAAATGTAAGGCTGTATGCATTGGGTATGTTCTTTTTTTTGTGATGACATCCAGTTTGATCACATCATCTGACTGGTTGAACTTGCTAATCTTGTTATCACATAAGAACATATGAAATCTTTTGATTTTCTATAGCTTCTTCTATGACTGGACTACACAGTTTTTATGGAAAACTAAGTGACTCAAAAATGTTTTCAGGATACTTTGGGAGTTTTGGAGGAGTACAGATAGTTTTGATTTATAGTCTATTTTAGCATTCATCACATTGTTCATAAATAATTTGAGTGTTGAACTCTTTCTCATGCTAATGAAGATTGCGATTCCTGCAATCTCGAAGGGTCTTTCAACACTAAATCCGGTTCGCTTGAATCTGTATCCTTTTCTTTTTTCTTTTTTCTTCTTATTTTAATATAATTTTAATCAAAATAAGTCAAAATTGAATAAAATATCATCAAAATCTCAAGCAAAAATTTTAATTACAAAATATATGACATAGGAAATATTTATAAAGAGTTTATAAAATTATTTATGAAAAATAAAACATAAATAATTATTTTTCTATATAATTATAAAAAACCTTAAAATTACCAAAATAAATAATTGTCTACACTCATTTCAAACCTATGGGAAAACTTTCACTTACAAAAATATTCAATGAAATATGATCTCACTCGACTTAGTTATATTTTTTAATTAGTGTCAAATAATAGTGTGATTCTATTCAGAATTAGGATTACTAGCGTATATGTATGATTTTTGCAAAATATAATGTAATGAAAAAGTTTGTAATGGAATAAAAAACATAATATGATGCTTTCTGATTAAAAACTTAAAATTAGCACACTTTCAACTTAAAATAATTTAAGAATGGTGTAACTTACCAATTTGAGATATGAAAAATTATATAAAATTATAACAAAAAAAGAATTCAGTGGAATATGACTTTATTTGACATAATTATGCTACTATTTGAATAGAGTTACAATATTTTTAGTATTGTTTAGAAACAATATAACCAAATTCAATATTAGGGTAAGATGGAAGTAATAGATATTATTACTAATTATAAGTAATATTAGTTGAATATTTTAATATTTGATTACTTGATGAGCTAATATAATGACACTATATTTATTTGTTATTTTATTTAAAATATATAAATATATAATTATATTTTATTATTCAAATAAGACAGAAATATAGCATTAGGCTGAACTTTTCTTTATTATCTACTTTCAATGATCCTCTCAAACAAACTGAGAATGCCAACAATCCAACAAAGAAAATGATATGATTATATTATTATTATTATTATTATTAATTTGTAAGTTAAATTTTTTAATATATAATTGATAATATATTAATATTTTAATTATTACATAAATTGGCCTACATAAATATATTGGTTCACTTGGACGGTCGATGATGAGGGATCAAAACCATGTTCAACGGTGGAGAGCCAAGGCGTGACCGGCTTAAGCGGTGCCCGTGAGTTGGTCGGGGTCTTACCTATAAGTGGCTCGTCCTCGCGTTCCGTCTCAAACGCGATGGAGGCGGAGAGATCAGGCGGTGAAGAAGAAAGGCCGGAATCAAACGCCCTAAAACCCTCCCTCTTCCCCCTCTCATCAAACATTTCTCTTCCCGATTCGTTCCCCTCCAGTGCTCCCCAGTGGCTTTCCAACGCCAGCTTTAGCTTCGACGTCTCGTCCCTTCCGGGAAGGGGAAGCGACCGGCCTCACTGGGAGGAGCCGGCGAGCCCCGACTCGGACGTTGAGGCCTCTGGCGCTGCCGCGGCTGGAGATCCCACGCCAGCATGGCGTCCTCAACGGTCCTATGATCTCGTGCCGTCGTCGCCCTCGGAATCTTCATCTAAGGACGAGCGTCGCTCGAAGGGCAAGGAAAGGAGGAGGAGAAAGAGGAAGAGGGAGAAGGAGAGATTGGATGATGGCGCTTCGAGGAAGTCGGAGGTTCGAGCTTGGGCGGGGTCCGATACCCAGCCGGCAAAGGAATACTATTTCGACGCTCATGGGGATAGGGACAATTTGGCGTTTGGATGCCTTTACAGGTTCGTGTACTCCCCATAAAGCTTCACGTTTTTCTTGTGAATGTTGCTGAAATTTTTCCTCGTTTGGCTAATATTATTTAGTGGTTGCTGTTCTGAGGCAATTCTTTTTCCGCAACATAAGCTGCTCACCGTTAAGCTTAATTGTCGTGTATCTGTAAACTTGAAATTTAGTGGAGATGATTGGGGATTTCATTTTATAGTGATATAGTGTAATGTTTTTAGAATCTCTCACGTGGTTCTTGGTATGCTGAAGACTTCTGTAGCTCTAACTTTCGTCATGTATATTTTGGGTTCTCATGTTCCCTGTGAAAGACCAATGGTGGAACCATTATTGTAGTTCGATGAAGTCATTATTAAAAGTGTACCAAATTGTTCTTATCCATGCTTATTTGGAGGTCATACTAGGTTTCTATTTTGTGCTGTGATCTTCGTTGTTACTCTGGTCTGTCGTTGTGTGTTATAATTTTTTACTATTGTAAGTTAGACAATGTATGTAAAGTACAATGGTGAAGGATTAGTTACGTTTGTGATGATGGAGCAATTCAGTTTATATGTTATTTGAATAAATCTTATTTTGTTTAGAGATATTTTCCGTAAGTTGTCACATGACAACATCTATTCAAGACAAAGAAAAAGAAAACAAATGCAGAAAAGAGTGGAAGAAATAAAGTTCGTTATTGATTGAAGATATTAAAGATTCATCTCTATAAAGATGAAAGTCTATCAATCAATAATATCATAAAAAACAAAGATTATCCTTCAAATCAAGTCAAGAATATTATCTTTTTTTTGTAGGAAACAATAGATCGTATATTTTATTTGATGCGATTATAATTTTTTATTTCTGTAATTTCCTTTTTATTCTTGTACTTGAACCTATAAAAAGGGGCTACGATATTATAATGCATCAATCAGAAGTTGGTCAGTAAATTGAGTTCTTCCTATCTAGTGTGCGAGTGGTGTGAGGCCACATTTGTTTTTTCGATAGAATTATTCCATTGTCCACATGCGAGATGCGTGGAGGTATGATACCTTCATTCTAGGAGTTCGCTCCTTGAGCCAGAGCGAGTCTAATAGCTATCTAAGTTTTTTTCTATTATGCTTCAGTCATTATCTCTTTTTTTCTCTCTATCATCAGAAGAAATCCGTTGCTACTCGTCCTACATTAACTAGTAATCGTTACATAGGCTTAATTAATATTACTAGCAGGAATATTTGCTCTTATAGGAGGAGATCCTTTGTCAAATATGTGATACAGAAATCTTCTTTCAGGTCCTTATACTAGGCACTGTTGCATACTGATTAAATTCAAGTTTTGGTCCTTATACCTTAATAATTTTGAAGCAAATGACCATAATTGTGCAATTTTAACTGCTAATGTCCTCCTCAGGACATCTGTCACTAGCTTGCTTTGCGTTTTCCCTTCATCGCTACTTATTTGTCATGAAGTTTCACTGCATTATAATTTTAATTTTTTTTTGTTCCAGAAGAGCTACTGGTGCAAGTTTTGTGATAGGTCATCTCTTTAGAAACTCTGCTCTTTATCATTGTGATGGGGTGATGGGATAAGTGATTGTAGGAGAAAAGGAAACAAGCATAATAGCTAACATATAAGACCATCTGTTCTAGTGTTGCATTATAAGCCCGTCTGGTCTATAACATGTCAAGCTAAGAAGTGGTCAAACATCAGTCACTACGTCATTAAGATCCAGCAAACAAATATCTGACGATATATTTGTACTAATTAGTATTTACTGGTCTAACCAAGAGTTAGTACTAGACCATATAGATCATTTTTCAGTTTTGAATTTTTTATTATTTTTCTGGTGATATTAGGAAATATGGGTTGATATTCTGGTCCAAAATAAAGGTCCAACCAACTTAAAATCATTGAGTAAGATTTTCAACAAATTTGTGGGTCTAGATAAATTCATATTTAATATGCAACAACAACAAAACCGTAAATCTCAATTATTTGAGATTGGTTACATGGATCTTTTACTATCATTGAGATCTGTAAAATGCCATATATTTAGTTAAGTTTAGAGTATCTGAATTTTTATTTATAGTTTCTATTAGAGTCTTTTTAGGTCTCACTATTATTTTTGGAATAGTAGTTCAGAGTACTTAAATTCATATTTAGGATGACTCCATGAAATTCCTAAAGCCTTTATCGCATTCTTTGCCACTTATCTCACTACCATTTTGGAAAACAAATTACAGTTAGTTTTCCAGTTCCAATCTGATTTGGTCCAATAATTTTGGGATCTGTCCACACTTATGGTGTTTCCCCTTGATGTCAAGGTCCCTTGATGCCATGGTTTGTTTCAAACCAGTCTTTTTCAGTTTTCAGTACCAAGCCCATTCTAGATCAATGGCCATATCATTAGAGGTCTGGTCCATTTCAATGTACCAACACATGTTACATCGGGGTGCACCATGGTTCAAGGAGAAGGGAGGGGAGTGGGAAGACAGGCTGGAAGGAAGTGGTGGAGAAAAAGAGACACGGAGGAGGCAAAGGAGTTGGAGGAGGAGGATGAATATTAGATGGGGGCAGGGGTGGTTGGCAGGGCCCTGAGGCAGCGAATGTGGGCCAGGGATGACGGGCAATACCACAAGCGACGAATGCTGCGGCCTGTGCAAGGAGGAGGGTGGGGGGTTGTGGATGGATGGTTATGGGGTTTAAAAAATAAATAAAGCTGTTAAATTAAATAAAAAAAAAGAACCATGTGACTAGCCCTGTTTCAGAAGTGGACCACTCGGTTAGAGCAGTCTGCGTGTCAGTAACCTAATGGATTGATATGTATTGGGTGCTACATTTTAGATATGGAGAACCATGATTTCAAAGAAAACTTCAATCTGTGTTCAAATGTTATTCTGGATCAGTGGTTCAATGATTCATTTGGTCTGAACTGGTCTAATAATTTATTGCAGAAAATGTTTCTTTTCCTAATGTTCTTCTTCTTTTTGTTACTTCTTTTTCCCTTCCCCTTTTTCTCATGCTCTTTTTTGTACATCTCGTTCAAACTCACATTGAATGTGGTTGCATTCTCATTATTGCGAATTGATGCATGTCGCTGTGGTCTATGGCTAAATATGTTCCTTTTAGAAAGAAGTTGGTTGGTTCTTGGATTAGTATGAATATTATTCCATTATGAGATAATATGAAAAGTTACATAAATTTTTTATCTGACTACTGCATCAATGCTTTATCTGTAGCCAATTTGTTGGTTTTGAGAAACATTCTTTGTTTCATATTTGGAATTTAATAATTGTTTTAATTCATGTTGTGTGGGTTGTAGAGCTCCTGAAGGGAACACTTGAGATATATTGGCCTTTTGGTTTGCAGGATGGACATTGCTCGTTACAAGATTCAGGATTATGGTGATTCATCTCAGACCAAATTTTGGTCATTATATCGCTGGAGAACTTCAGCTTTAAATATGGATACAGAGGGAGATCATGATGTACTAGACCACAAGCTGAAATCAGGAGGCCGTTATTATTCTGCAAAATTTACTATGTTGGAACGTAATAGGGCTTTTAAGAATACTAAATTTGTTAATAGAGCGATGTCTTCAGTGATTCCTGGGGATTTCGTGCCGCTGTTAGATTCACATTCTTCCTCTGAAAATGTTCCATCAAAAAATGAAGAGCTTGAGGAGTCTTGGGATGATGAAGTGATTCAAAGAACAAGAGACTTCAACAAAATGTCCAGGGATTGTCCTCATGATGAGAAAGTTTGGCTAGACTTCGCTGAGTTTCAGGTATTCACCTACCTTTTTGTTTCAGATTAAAGTTGGTGTTGAGATTCTATCTTATGATTTTGAACAGTTAATCCTTACAGCATGAACTAAATTAAACATCCTATCATTTAACATTTACAGTTTTTCTGCTCTTAATATCAATCTTGAGTTCACAAAGTACTTGGTTGAAAAAAATCTATTTTATGTCAATGATCAGGATAAGATTGCAAGCACACAACCACAAAAAGCAGCACGAATGCAGATGCTTGAAAAGAAAATTAGTATTTTGGAGAAGGCAGTGGAGCTGAATCCAAATAGTGAGGAGCTCTTACTCTGTCTCTTGAAGTCTTATCAAGGTAGGGATAGCATTGATACTTACATTGAAAAATGGGAGAGAATACTCATCCAACATTCTGAGAGTTGCAAGTTGTGGAAAGAGTTTCTACTTGTCTGCCAAGGAGACTTTTCTAGGTTCAAGGTTTCTAAAATAAGAAGAACCTATGCTCATGCAATCCAAGCATTATCCTCAGCTTGCGACAAGCACCGTAGGCAGGTTCTATGTTTTCTTTTTTTATAACACTGCCTATTTACGTTTACATATATCATTGCTTCTATCATAATGCTTGGATTATAGATTGATTAAATATAATTATTATTCTCCTTCATCTTTATGTTGGGGAGAACTTACAGCATTCCTTCCTTTTTGTATATCCTTGTTGTTTATGGCTTTGGTGTTGTGACCTATAAGGCCTGATAGATCTCTTAACTACATTAAATTTATACCTAACCTTATCTAAACTTCAAATCCACATTGTTTAGCCTCTCTATCATTCTTAGTGACACTTAATTTTACTTAAATGTCAATTTCGTAATGTTTAACCCTGGTTTCATTCTTAGTGCCATATCCATAACATGTTCAGGGCCTTTCAAGAACATGTATGTTGCACCATGAATGGAACCTTGAAAATTTTTGAAGGCCACTAGGGTCTTTGCATTTGTTTCTTCCTTTGTGGACAGTCCTGTACTGAGGATAAAGTATTTGTGTAGCCACCTACATGTGTAACTATTCTTGGACTTATAAGTTTAGTGTTTGCATTAATATATGGGAACAACAATATTGTATAGTAATTTGTCTTGATTATAATACTATGTTTTCCTAGAGCTTTCTGTGAAAATAAGGCCAGGAACACATGCAGAACTGCAAAAAGCCTTAATTGTCCTAGTCATATGTGGTTGGCATGGGTTGGTATGGATGGGTACTCAGTGATTTCAATAGGTGTTCGGGCGCTCGCTTAGGTGCTCGAGCGAGGCGAGGCGAGGCCCGAGCACCTCGCTTCACTTCCAGGCGGCGCCTCGCCTCGCCTGAGCGCCTCGCTTCACTTCCAGGCGACGCGCTTTAAAGAGGCGCCGCCTGGGCGCTCGCTCGAGCCCAGGCGCTGGGCGCTTCGGGCGAGCGCCTGGGTTAAACCAGGCGACCGAACTACCGATATCAACTGTCGCTGCCCAACCCTAACCTTGTTCGTTGCCACTGTCGCTCCCGTTGCTCGCTGCTGTCACTGCTGTTGTCGCCGCTCGCCGCTCCCGCCGTCGCTGCTCGCCGCTGCCTCTGTTGTCGCTCGCCGTTGTCGCTATCATTGCCGCTTCCTCTTTTCTCAGTCAGCACCCCCTTACACTCTTCTTCCTTCTTCTCCTTCTGTATACTGTTAATAGTATACTAATAATAATATTTGTATTTATTAGATTAATAATATATTATTTTGATTTGAATACTGTTAATTTTTATTTATTTGAAATTATTGTTAGATTTGAATACTGTTAATTTTTATTTATTTGAAATTATTGATTTTAATACTGTTAATACTGTTAATTTTGAAACTTTTTGTTAATGTGACATTATGATTTTGTATCTTAGATTTTCTTAATTTAATAACATATTTTTATTTAAAATTTTAAATAGTTATATTTATTAATTATATTATATATTTTTATATTGTAGTGCCTCGTTTCGCTTGGGCGAGCGCCTAGCGCCTCGGGCGTTTTTGGACCTTAGCGCATTTTGACGTCTAACGCTTTTTAAATCACTGTTGGTATTTTACTGTTTCAACCATGTATTGGTATACATACCATTGGTTTTCGCTCAGTTTTGGTACATACTGGGTGATGGGTGTACTGTCCAGTTTTAACCAGGCCTACCTAGATGTAGACAGTACTAATAAACTTTTTTTAATCTTTCAGCAGTTGTGATAGCGGTCATCTTTTTTCTTTTTTTTTTTCTCTCTCATGTGGTTACACTCTCTCTCACCTCTTCGCTGCCACCCTACCACCTCTTCCTCCACTTAGCCTTGTTGTAGTTCTCTCCATTGCTCATCGTGGTCACCTCTCACCTCTTCGCTGCCACCCTATCACCTCTCACCTCTCCTTCTGCCGTTAGATCTCTTCTATCTCTGCCTTCTCCTCATGCAGTCCTCCTCCATGGCCAGTCCTCTTTCTCTGCATCCTTCTCCAATTCCACACATCTTCTTTCTCTCTGTGGTTCATAGTTCATACAACACCAACCCATATCGAGTGTCAGTACGTTAATCCGTACTAGTACCATGCTAGTTTGTACAGATCGGTGTTAGCACCAGAGTGTCTGTACATTAATCTGTACTGGTACCATGTGTTAGCACTGGACTGAATTTTAAACCTTGGTTGGTACATGCAGAATTTGTAGAGTGCACATTAGAGGTGGTGTGTGGTGGATAAGGCAAGTGGTGCTTTTGGAATGGAGATGACTTGATGGCTTAAAAAGCAAAAGAAACTTTGACAATTTTCTATCGGCCAATCCAAGCAAGATAACTGTAGTATAAAAGAAATTGTTGAGATGTGTGGTTCTAGAACCTCAAAATGATACAATGGACTCCAAGGAGTACTTGCTGTGCTTTGGTGTTGAAAAAGTGTACCTTTGGGGTTCAGAAAGTAACTTCCCCCCTGTAATGCCCTCTTCTTTTTCTTCTACAAATTCATGGTTGAAGCAGATAATGAGTTGGGAAAATGATTTTCTTCTTGTTATATTCTTAATTAGAAAGTCAAGGGATCTTTTCTCTTCTCTTCTTACTTTTTATTCAGGTGCTTATTAACCTTGGTCTAGTATGTTCCTTCTGATGCAGGAATTTGCGAGTTTGCAATCAGGTGATTCTTCTCTAGTTCAACTAGAACTTGGCCTGGTTGATATATTTGTCAGCTATTGTAGGTTCGAGTGGCAAGCAGGTTACCAAGAATTAGCAACTGGTTTATTTCAGGCTGAACTTGAGTACAGTTTGTTCTGTCCTTCCTTAACTCTCAGCTCACATAGTAAGCAAAGGCTCTTTGATCACTTTTGGAAAAGTGGTGTTGCCAGAGTTGGGGAAGATGGTGCACTTGGTTGGTCATCCTGGCTGGAAAAAGATGAGCAGAATAGGCAAAATACTACATCAGAGGATAGCACTGCTGAGACTGAGGTTGGAGGCTGGAGTGGTTGGTTTGAACTTTCATCAAAAAAGAATGTCCCAAGCAAAGATCCAATAGTATCAGTGGATCTTCCCATTGATAATGAAAATACTGAACAGAACCTTGAATCTAAAGAGAACCTTGACACTGAAGAAATTCCTCCAGGAGATGACATTGAAGCTTTGCTGAAAAAGCTTGGGATTGACATAGATTCTGAGCCAAACAGTGAGGTTAAAGACACAGAAACTTGGAATAAATGGTCAAAGGAGGAGTTATTAAGGGATAGCGAACAATGGATGCCTATTCACGAGGACTCTGGTTTGTATGGTCGACCTTTTTCTCCTTTTGTGATGGATGGTTTTACCTGCTAAATAGTTCTATAAGTCTGTCTTTTATGTACTTCCATAACTAATGATCCTTATTTATATGAATAGGTGAAATTGGAAAGTCTGTATCCCTTCATTCTGATGATAATTTAGATGATGATCACAATGAACAGCTTTCAAGAGTTATCTTGTTTGAAGATGTCAGTGACTATCTATTCTCATTGTCCTCAAAAGAGGCACATCTATCGTTGGTGTTTCAATTTGTTGATTTCTTTGGAGGCAAGGTTTCTCAATGGTTAGTTGCACACGTGATAATGTCTTTTGTTATTATCAATTAAACCATGATCAAGAATTATGTTATTCTTTGACATCAAGCATCTACTTAAAGTTTAAAATATTGATTTTACACAAAGAATCGTTTTCTTTCTAGTTTCTTGTTACTGAATGACATTGTTCTTGCTTCTTGGATACTAAAGTTTTTAAATTCTTCTCCTTTTGATCTTGACCACTATTTTGCATTTCATGGGAGATGGTTTTCAACGTAGATAACAGATAGCATATGAGCCATAAGCAGACTTTGATATATATATATATATATATATATATATATATATATATATTTATATATATATATATATTTATATTTATATACCACCAGAAGATGTCATGTAAATGGGAGATGGCCAAATGCTGTTCTTCATTTACAGTTTACCATACATATCTTTTATGTATATTGGATACCTTAGATGATATTAGAGTGTCAAAATGAAACACGATCATCCACAGTTCACATGTTTTGTGAATCATGAAAATGTGAGGTCAGCATGGGTGAGATAGAAAAGGGAAAGAGTGAGCATGAGAAATAGGGAGAAAAAAAGGAAGATTAAGAGGAAAACCTGGTTACAGTATGTGCAGTGGGATAAGAGAATAATTGGCATATGCCATGTAAAACAAGGGGGATTGTGTAATCAGAGTTCAAGAGTACTTTTTTATTTGGACCTCTCTCATTAATTAACAATTTAAAATTGGATCAACCATAGTTTCCTTGAGCATGTTTTTATCAATTTATGTTGGTTTATAAGTCCAAAAATAAGCTTCCTTTAGTAGATTCAAGCTCTTTTCTAGCTGAATTATATGGCCACTGGGCTTTGAGCTTCCAGTTATAACATCCGTATAGTCTGCCGTCACTAATTATTGGAGGCTGGAGCAATAAATTTTAGCTGAATATTTGTAATTGAACATTTGGTGCTTTTGGTTATTATAAAGCAGTTCTAGTTTATATCTTAGGTAGCCTATGAAAGGAGTATTCGGCTGAAGAACTATATATGGAACAGACATGTAAGACCATATATTGGTTGGACTTAAATGTGAGGGCCTGTTACATGATGCTCAAAAACTGTATGTCCTTTGCAAATGTAATATGCAAAGTACATGTACAGCTAAACAAAATCTTATATGCTAAATCACCAAGTATAACCAATCTGGCCATGTAGGCTACACATGTAATTGATATTGCTACACAAGGTAAGTAACATGTCAACTAATATAACTAATGATTCCATATCATAAAGTTTGGTCAATTCAGAGAATTAGAAACAAATTCAGGAATTAGGCTTGAATTTCAATAGAAATTGATACTTAAATTATAGATAGAAGTGAATTTGAATAGGCCATGTGATGGAATCATTGTTAGGCCTGAAGTTGTTTGTAAAACCCCAGTTTAGGTAAGTTAGATTGTGCGTCCGTGAAATTGTTCACAATTAAGATCATTAAAGAACAATTGAACCAGGAGTTAATTTAAAATGCACAGTCTCAACATGAAATTTAAATTTATACCACAATGAAAGTAAATAAAATAAATTAAATTGTCCATTCCAGAGGTGCTTATGTAATTCAATAAAAAAGTTGGAAAAATTAAAAATTAGTGTACCAGAATTGTACCCAATTGGATTATATTATGATTGATTCAAATCACAATTGTCCTGTATGTCTGGTTTCTAGTTAGACTAGGAGTGCTGGAATTTGGAACGGAATCACTGTCCTGTATGTCTGGTTTCTAGTTGTATACTTGCTGGTTTTTATTGAGTTTAGATGTACATCTAATATGAAGATTTTATACATCTCTAGCCAATTAGGTTCTTGGTGACTTATCCTGTGTGACTGAAGTTATTTACCAAATCAATATATTAAAAGATGTGATGAACTAAGAATAAAGATGATAGATGCCTTACATTGCTTTGTGGGCCTCGCAGATAAGTTCTTTATAAATGTGAGAAATAGATCTAGAGGGAAAACTATCTAAAGTTCAATATAAATGTTTTTCCTTGAATACTATATGATATTTAATTGGCTCTATCTCTCTACTCTCCTGTATCCATTTGAGCCAATCTCTCTCTCTCTCTCTCTCTACACACACACACACACACACATATATATATATATATATATGTATATATATGTATGTATATGTATATATATATATGTATATATATGTATGTATATGTATATATATGTATGTATATATATATATAAGGTTTTTGTCGAGGCGTCGCCTCTCTTCTCCCCGTGGCGTCGATGATTCTTCTTCCTACGCACAGATGAGAAGTTGCCAATGAGGAGAGTGGCGTCGATCTCCAGGAACTCTTCTTCTCCCTTATCTTTCTTCCCCTTCTTCCTCTTCTTTCCCCTTCTCCCTCGGTCACCGTCCAATTTAGGACGATAACGGAGCAAAAACAACGTCGATAAGCCCCAATCGACGGTACCGCTCTGTCACGGACTTAGCTGGATTTGCCTAAGTCGTGCGGCACCCTCGCGTGTCCGTCCGCAAAGGTCAGCCTCCCCGAAGCCTCCTATTGTCCCTTAGGACCAACAAAAGAGAGAACGGGTTAGAGAGAACGCCTCAATCGGGATCCACAAGCAAACATCTCCGAAAAACACTTCATAGACAATGCAAATTACAAACAGACTTTACAAGCTCTGAACAGTTGTACAACAAAGGGTAAAATGGTCCATTACAGACCGAAAATCTCTCGCACGTGTCCACATGTCACAACCTTTATTTACAAGCCTAAAGAGGCCACCAACCTAACTCAAATGGGACTATAAAGCCTTCGGTCGCCCCCTTTACATGTTGTACAAAGCATTAACATGCCAAAAGACACGGACATACATAAGCATTACATCAAACACCCTGTTTCAAAGTTTGTCCGTGACATTCTCCCCCACTTATTCCTTCGACGTCCTCGTCGAAGCCTTTGTGAACACTGCAACTCTTCGCCTTTGCTGAGTCTTCAATCTTCTGCTCCAGCTGTAATGCGCCTCCTGGCTCCTAGCTGCTCTCCGCTGCTGTTTTTGAGTAGTCGAACCTTTGATCCGCCATGCTGCTTCAACTCGCCAATGACTCTGACTCTGGTGTGGGGTTGGCTGAGTTGTGTTGATCCTTGTTGATTCCTGCGGATCTCCCAGATGAAGGAAAAGACCATCTTTACTGCGCCAGTCTCTCAAAATTCTACATGCTGCTTGAACTGGGTGGATGCTTGTTGGAGCTTTAACGAGCATCGTCTCGCAAACTTCTGAAGTTTTGGGTCCTTCCTCCACAAAATCTGCTCATTGACTCTTCTTTCAGTTAGTTGTCACATCCCAGTAGGTTCGCATCACTTCCGCTTTCGATTGTCAATTT